TTCCCTTCCCTCATTCTATTTTATATTGTATTGTATGATAAGCAGACATAGAAAGACATGTGACACAAGCAGCTATTACTTAGCCTATAAGAACTGTAGTTCAAGATGTAGTCAGTGTGAATTCCAGAGTAGATGTGCTTGAGGATTATTTCAAAGTGCAAATGGAGGATGAGTTGTGAGAGACACACTGCCTACATTATCTCAAAGAACCACAATTATTGTTTGGTAATTAACTGTTCTTTCTTTTTAGAGTATGTGAAAGCCTGGACCCCCACTGTAGATGACTTAAGCAGTATCCCTTTTCCCCTCAGGGTGAAGTCACTGCTGCATCCCTTGAATAGCAAGTGTTATACTGCTTTCTTGAATTGGGCATCTGACCTGACAACTAAATCCAACGTCTAACATTTCACAACAGCCAGTGGTTTTCACCACATCACTACTTTGCAGATAAGTTTCTGATACAGATACATTTCTGAAGCAGGTGGAGTGAGTGTTGATGTTTGGTGGGTGAGGTACACCAGCTGGATAACAGTGAGATTCAAAATTCAGTGTAAGGCATTTTGATTAGATTACCTTGTCTATAGCCAGTAAGATGGGACAATGGTCTGATTGCTTCGTTACATTGACAAGACTAAACCAAAGTTCTGCACACATCTAGTGTGTGGCTTTTCTCTCAGTGCTGTGTGTGGTTTTGGGGAGAAGACAAATAGATGGGTTGACTTGGTTTAAATGAAAATCTAAGACCACTGTGAGAATGAATTTTGAGGATGTCTTAGTAGCATCACTTTGCTCTGAAAAGTGGAGTTGGGTGGTGTCTAACCATAAGCTCACTTACTCTGCAGACTGAAGTCATAACTATAAGCAAGACAATCTTCTGAGTGAAGTGTTGCAAGGTGCATGTTGTGGGCTCAAAGTGACTCTCATGGACTGATCTAGCAAGTGTAGCATGAGCCAAATGTACCCAGATTTTAAATCTGGAAGAAAAGGGCATACATGGAATATGCCTCTCTGAGATGTGGATTGCGTCTATGCAAAACAGGCATTAGCCTTAATGGACATCGCTCAGTTGCATGATGGGCAGGGTTTGAAGTCCACCATGAAGCATGGCAGTTGGCACAATGTACTTTGCCCCACTGCATAGGATTTAAATAAACTTCCATGTTTTGGAAGTGTGAAGATAAGATTTCTTTATAAATTTGGTGGAAGTAATCTTGAGAGAATTGCAACTTGGACAGTCACTGGGTTCTGTCTCATTGCCATGTTGGCTATGAGAGTGAGGAAGGATCACAGCCACTCTATCCTTTATGCCTCTTATGGGAGGACAAGGAGGCAGAGGGCATGTGCTTGACCCTGACTGCTACTGCTATTCAAAGAATCCAGTCTTGTGTGCATTAGCCACACTCCTCCATGCTGACATATACTTGGAGAAGAATCTAAGAAATAGTTACTTTTTGTTAGTGCCTAAGATAGTAAAATTGTAGTGACACGCTCATACATAGTAATCTATAAAATGGATATATAAGACTCCCACACACTACAAATGTGACCATTTCAGAAAGGAAGTTCAATAGTGGTGTCCGAGGCAGAACATCAGAAATGGCTGCCCGTCGCAGGGAGCCATAGCCTGTAATACCTCTGAGGCTGGTATAGGGAGCTCTGTCTGTGAGGTGGAGTGTTTTCCATATAAGGGCATGTAAATTAATAATCTTCCCCTGCTCGCTCCACCCATTGCAGTAACAGATCAGCCAGTGGGCTGACTGGTGCTCAGGCCTGCTACTCCACCCACTGCAGCAAAAACCAACCTATGGGGTGATAAGTTCACAGGCAATAAAACAGGCAGGCAGCCCCTCTCTCACTGGGGATTCGCATTGAGTGAACGCCTGGCCTGATCACCCAGACGCCTTGCACCCCCCGCTCTTGAGTCTTACTGAGCGTACTCCGAGTTGGTCGACCCGAGTGGAGACAGTTTATGAGCGTGTGACCGGTACTTGTGTTCCTGCTGTCTCCAGAACTGGTATAACACCCCCCACCCCACCATCATCCCTATCCTAATTGATTTTTTAGTTGTCCTTATTGCTTGTCAAGTGACAGTGGCTAAAAAGTTACTAAGTTAGTTTTTAAATAGTTGTGGTTTAGGTTTTTTACTGTTTCCTTGTATAAAGTTGTGTAAATAATCAGCCCTATGGACAATACCAGTGTTAATTCAACTGTTCCTAACCCCTGGGCAGTTATTGGGAATTATTGTGATTTAGAAAAGCCTCAGGGAATTGTTTTGTGTTGTCTGGCAATCTGTTTAATTTTTGTTCTGATGATTGTCTGGCGCCATCAAAATAAAATCAGTTTGTGCTTTTTGAAACCCCTAGTTGTGGTCTCATCCTTTCCGGCATCCCTTCGAACCTCGTGTATTACGGGGACTGACAAGTGGTATATGTCTGAGTTAGCAGGACTGATCCTTTTCTTCCCAAATCCCATGGTGAAGTTCCCACTGACTTTAACTGGAGTGGAATAGGACTCTGTTTCTATATACAGACTCCAGTTCTGTACACACAGGTATAGAGGTTAATATTTAGATATCCAAGTACAGGCAGTCCCCGGGTTACGTACAAGATAGGGACTGTAGGTTTGTTCTTAAGTTGAATCTGTATGTAAGTCGGAACTGGCATCCAGATTCAGCCACTGCTGAAACTGATCAGTTTCAACAGCGGCTGACTCTGGACACCAGTTCCGACTTACATACAGATTCAACTTAAGAACCCCAGGCGTCCCCAAGTCAGCTGCTGCTGAAACTGAGCAGCGGCTGATTCCAGGAAGCCCGGGAGCAGAGCTGCTCTGGTCAGTTGCGGTAGTGGCTGAATAGGTGAAGCCGGGGCAAAGCAGCTTCAATTGTCCGGCTGTCTCGAACATTTCCGGACCATCAAGAGTGCCGGACCATTGGATGCTGGACCACTGGAGTTTTACTGTAAATAGAAAGGCAGTGATGCCAATCTACAAGGTACTTCTAGGACCTCATCTGGAAAATTAAGTTCAACACATAGGAATGGAAACTCAAATAGGTACAGAAAGGGCTAATATAGGGATCGGAAAGCCTCTCTCATAAGAGAAGACTAAACCAGCTTGGCTGTATTAACCTAAAAAAAATGAAGCTTTAGAGAGGATGTGACTTTTTGTTATAAATACACTGGGGGAGGAGGGGTAGCTGAGTTAGTCTGTAACTGGAAAAAACTTAGAAAACAACAAATACTCTATCAGCACCTTAAAGACTAACAAAACATGTAGATGGCATCATGAGCTTTCATGGGTACAACCCACTTCTTCAGATGAAGTAAGGAGTTAACACCCCGCAGCAGACCAGGGAGACGGGGAGCAGCTTTTCTCGCCCCGGAGGAGGCGGGCGGCGGGACCAGGCGTCCTGCCGCTCCAGTCCTCCAGGGCGAGAAAATCCCTGTTCGTAACTGCGGATCCGACATAAGTCGGATCCGCGTAACTCGGGGACTGCCTGTAACTGATTTTGCTCACTTATCAGGTGACGGACATCCTAAGATTATTTGTCTGCAGCTAACTACACTCATTAAACTTGAGGTCAAGTTGAAGGCCCTTTAAACATGTGACCCATAAAATTATCAAAGTGGCTGAACATTTTAAATTTCAGGCTATGGAAAAGTAGCTGCATTACTATGGATTTGCAATTAGAAACTTGTTTCTGAAATAAATTTGTCTTAATTTTCTTAAATGCCAATAGCTAAATAAATGAAAGTGAAACATTTTGTAAATAATTACTTATGACCATTCTTTATCACTAATGAGCTGGAAGCCCATTATATATCAAATGATACAAATGAACTTACCTTAGCATTTGGAGTAGCCTTAATGGTCCATATGCAGTCAATTGCTTGTCCAGGTTTTGTTTTCTCTTCTTGTTCTACTTGACTGGACCGTACTATTCCATCAGCTCCTGAAAGCTCAAACTGGCAATCTAGAAAGGACATACAACTTGCTGTCAAATGCAAGATAAGATTGATTACAAATTTAATGTACAAATAAATTGTTATTTTAATACTAGACCTGGGATGGGATTTAAAATACCTCCTAGGTAAGTGAAGTCTGGATCTGCAACAGAAGAAACCACAAGTCATTGGGGCTAGCAACTGAGAGTCACTTCAAGATTTAAAACAATCTAGAGACAATATTTTCTAATGCACCAGAAAATACCATATGCTAGAACATAAATTTAATCAGTGGAAAAAAGATGATCCTCATGTTACCTGATGTTGGAGTCCATGAAAACTGACTGTACCTTGCTAAGATGGCTAAATATTTCTAATATAATAGAGGTGGTGAAAACCACACTAGAATTTCCTTTCAATTTTGTACTTCTACCTAATCTGCACTGATAGATCCCTGTACTGGATAGCACTGAAATCAGAAAAGCTCCACAAGGGCACATGAGTTTACCTGTGCACATCAGACTTCAGGATCAACAGGTATATAAGTAACTCTATATAGCCTAAGTGGGAGAGGTTTACTAGTGCAATCTGATGTTTTGGAATTACTAGTGTACTCAGGTACATTTCAACAAAAGGTAAACAAGCAACAAGGACCAACATTTCACTGGTAGTCACGTACATTGATCTAATTAGAGCCCTGCACGGATATAAAATTGGTATCCTAAATGAGCCGCGGATATCATTGAAAGCAGGGTTTGGCCCAAAACGAGCATGTAGCATTGCATGTACAAGCAATCACATTTTCATGAGGAGTTTAGTTTTTTTTGCACATACACTTACCCCTCAACAGGTGAGCCTTGCAGGTTACATGTACCTTTGCTGCACAGGAAAAAACCTGAATTTTTGTATACCAGTGCTCCAGTACACCAACAATTACACAAATGATGTGAACAAATGCTAATCTGCCTATTATTATTGTGTCGTGTTTGCCCATGCAATGGCTGCATGTCCATAGTGGACCAAATCTTGGCCCCACTGGACTCAAGCTGCAGGATTTGGATCTTTGTGTAACCCTTTATCTATAAAAAGGGATTTACAGTTTATAAAAAAAAGCATAAATCCTGAGCTGACAAATATTCAAGATGGTTCAGAAAACTCCATCCTTAGCCTGCTTTCATTTAGGTACACAGTCCGGCATCTATGTTCACTATGTTGAAATCTCTGTAAGTCAGAATTTCAACCGCCTTTCTGAATTCACTCTCCTGTGTGAACCTAACTCAAGCATTTAGTGTCATTTAAGTATTTTGTGAGCCTCAATTTCTTTTTCTGTTTTTTTGTTCATTGGCACTGGTACTTAATATATGTTAAACATCTTGTGAGAATGGAAAAGAAACAAAATGTAACTGTTCTTTCACAGCCATTACAGTCAACCACAAAAAATAAATATCTGTATTATAAATCTGCCACACAAGCACGAGCCTTTCTAGCATTAAGCTAACTTGGTTATGAAAATGACATATTGGTTAAATTGCTCTGAAAATTAGCTTGGCACACATATCAGTACAACCCCTACAGGAACATTTTAGCACATCCCACACAGTTCCCAAAGGGTTAGTGACCCATGCTAATCCAAACAATTTGAGAGACTAAATCCATAGCAGAGTGCAAACATTTCTGTTGAATACTTGCACTAATATATAATAATATTGTCCTATGATTCTGGAGGTGGAGGCATGTCTTAGAAAGAGCAGGAACATAAAACAGTTACACTTGTGTATACAACATTTGCAGTAATAGGTGACATTTATAGATTGCTTTTTGTCCCAAAGGATCCTAAAATGCTTATAACTGTATTTGTACATTATCTAAAATACAGCCAGCTGGAGTATAGCATTCTGCACAAGGACATCAGGTCAAATCCTCTCACCAAAAGTGCCATAGGAGCTTTAGTATCCTCACAGAGCAGACCTAAGCTCATTAAAAGCAAACAAAACAAACTCCCTGAGGTTGCAACCAAAATATTCCTCCTCTAACCCTAATAACCTGCTTAGTGTTTAATGTGCCTCAGCAGAATGAAGAGCTGAATCAACACTCTCAGGATTTGAATTCATGGTTCCAGAGAAACTAGGTATTTCAAAAGCTGATGCTTAGCCCAGTTAAGCCATTTCCTCCAACTTTCCATGCCTGAGATTATACTCCAATTGATACATTTAGAACCAGATTCTGTCTCTAGTGAGAGGCACACAGCTCAGGATCAAAGAGGGTGCAGGGAAGATGCACTGTCACAAGGAGATGGCAGAATCCATATTCTTGAGCTCGAATGCAAGCTGCACGCTGCAGTAATCCTGTCACTTAATAGGGAAGGGGAGGGGACTATGGCCCACTGCACATAGATTGAGATACTGGTCTGATACCTGCACTTAGGGAATACAAACTACACATTAAAGATGTGGCAAGTAGGAGCATGCATCTCCTAGCACCTTCAGAAACATTGTCTCATCATGGCAGCTGCCTTATCAACATAGTCCTAGCTTTTGATTAATATGATGGATATTGAAGACTGTAGCACAATTTAAATGCAAACACTTGCTACTCTTTTAAGCCATATTAAATTTTTTTATCGTTTTCGGTTTCTTAAACCATGTTTGAGAAGCTATTTTCAAGACTGAGTTAGCTTAAAGCTAGTGACCATGTATAGAATCCTGTGTGTATACAAAATGTGTCTGCATCCCTATTGTACCTGCAAAAATGAGCAGCCAATATCTGCACTGATCTCCACGGATTTGGATACGAAGTGGATATCTGAACATTCGCAGGGCTCCAAATGTGTGGTAATTAAAACTCTTACCGTTTTTAGAATTGTTAGTATAGGCTGTATACAAAGGCTGTGAATAAGCAACTATGCTCTTTTGTTTCCACTTCTTTAACACGATTTACAATTGGTAGTGTAGATAGGGCAAGGAACTAATGCCTTCCTCGGCATGTTGTCCTCTTTAGGAAAAAAAAACATATTTACACTATTTTACAAATGTTCTTTTTACTTCACAGATTTAAAAGGCCCTAGAAAAGACCACCAATTCACCAACTCAGGCACCTTCTGAATGTGGAATTTTGATCAAATATTAAGAACTCCTTAGTTCTTAATGAAACATATGAAAATGTGTCAGTCTTTATTATGAAGCTTTGAAATTACCAATAGTGATAGATGGTTACCAATTTTAATTGTGTTTAAATACACTCTGTAACCAGTTTTCAGTAGTTAGTAGGCCAGTCAATTCAGTATTTCTTAAAAACAAAACAAAACAAAACCCCACACGAAACAGGTTTAGTCTACATCACAATCTAAAGCAGCGTTTCTTAAACTGTGTTCCCAGGCACACTGGTGTGCCACGAGGCAGTCAGAGGTGTGCTGTGGAGAACAACAGAATTCAAAATGGCTTTCCTTATAGGGGCAGGTGACTTTTTTCCCCTCAATAACTTTTCCCTGACCCATTTCTTTTCTCAATAACTCTCCCCCCCCCAACAAAAAATCCTTGGTATTCCTCATTAAAAAAAATTGTTTCGTGTTCCTCGGTCTTAAAATGTTTAACACTGATCTAAAGGTCCTAAATCTGTCAGGTGCTATGCAACCACTGTGATGTGTTGAGCATCCTTCACCCCCAGAATGGTTATGCGGAGGATTCTTAGGGCATTCCTTCAGTACTGTTCTAGCCTCTATGCTAAAAATACTGAAATGGTAGCAGACTGGCTGCTAATGTTTTTGACATCACATCATGCTAACATAGATAAAATGGTGGAGTACATTGCCAGCAGGAGGTTTATATTAAGATTCCTACTGCTACAGCTAGAGCTATAGTGGTCATAGAGCAACTGTGGGGAGAATTCTCTAAAATCCTCAGCACTGACCTCTTTACTTGGAAAACTAGGGACTGTAAATTGCCCCTAGTTTGGATTCCCCAGCTTTAGCAGCAGAGGAATCTGTAAAGTTGACAGTGCTAAGATGTTTTTAGCCACCATGTTATCTAACTCTGCTCACAGCTATTCCAATAATCATGAAATACAGCTCCAAATTGCCTGTACAGATGCACCTGATGAGTTCATAGGAGTATAGGGAACTGTGTCCCTCAAAGCATCTCACCAGTACTGAGCCCTAACTGCTGCAAAATGACCATTTAAAGTCTTGAATTTGAACCTTTAGATTAGTTTGAAATTCTGAGCAAACAACAACAACTAGCAATGTAAGCAGCTACTGAATAAATAGCTTTACCTGGTATAAATGAGTATTTTGCTTGAAATCCCTCTCCTTCTAGCTCCTCATCTGAAGTAAACTTTATCCACATAAACCTCCCTGTTGATCTAATTAGTGCAGGACTTTTCAGACCACAGTAGCGATCGATGAGAGGAGAAAAACCAAAAGGCCCATCTCGAACTTCAAGATGATCAAATCGACATTCAAATGAGGGTTCTATGTAATAAGGTTCATCAAAGGTCAACTCAATTCTTTGGCGTGGAGCAGCTACAACACAATAAAATTTTCAGCATAGTATTAATCAATAAATAGGATGTGTAAAACACAGTGAAATGAGATCCACATGGTGCAACCTGGGATCCTAGCCTGGACTGTCTCTCTCAATGCTTTGCTAGTGACAAGCAGCAAACCTCTCCTGGAGCTGTTATTACTCAGCACAACAACATGTGGAACCTCACATAGAGCTAGATTGCATGAATGCTCCCCAAGCCACTCACGAATCATACAGAGGAAGTGAGCAACCAAATCCCTCCGGCTCCCAGCCTTGTTCCTCAAGAATATGCCATTTTGCACTGCTAAAGAAAAGCAGAGCAATTTTATTAACTGGTTCACCACTTCAGATATACACCAGTCTTTGTAAACCTGAGCAGATTTATCAAACACTTCAAGGAACTTCATTGATAAGGTTAAATTCTATCTTTTGTAGTCCACAAGCCAGTTTTACTGTTTAAGTGATTGTAAATGATAGGCACAAAAATCAGAGTGGTTACCAAAAGCAAAGAAAATATAAGCACGCAGTCTAAAGGCTCAACCCTATTAGACTGGGCAACATTTAGACTAAGCAGCTTTTTCTCTTTCCACTGGATGGTGTAATTCATTGTACAGTTTGGACCTTCCTAGTCTGGCTCCCTCAGGACCTGACCAGTCCTGAAAGAGGGGATTTGCCAAACCAGGAGAGGTCTCTTCCCTCATGACCCATGCTGCCCCTGGGCTTGGGATCCAGCCTGGTCCAACTGCTACCAGTCTACAGTCCCAGCCCCTGACTCCTGATATGTGCCCAGACAGGACTGCCTGGGCGGGAGCTCCCTGGCTGCTACAACCGGGGCCAGAGTCAGAGCTCCCTGCCTGCCGCTGGAGCTGCACAGCGGGGGCTGAAACTCCCTAGCAGTCACTGGAGGGAGCTTGCTGGCCACTGCTGGAGCACCATGGCTGGAACTGGAGCTCCACAGCCACTGCCAGCTCCACTAACGCCAGGCTGGAGCTCCACGTTTCCTAGGACTCTACTATGCCACCCGCTCCTCCTGACATAGGGCTCTGGGAAGAGTCACTGCCCCCCACATTGCTTCCTATGCAAGTCCTCCCTGTTCCTGGGCTCTGTGGTCCAGGAACATTCGTGGTCCTATCAGACTACAGATGTTGCTGTACCAGAGAGTCCTGGTTTAGGGGGTACAACATGTGCACAGGTTTCACCCTTGAAGCTTAGTCCAGTCTCCCCTGTTGGAGTCTTCAGTTTTTCCTCTGAATTCTTGTTGGCTGCAGTGTAGGTAGGCAGGTCAGGAGGTAGAGGAGAAAGCAAAACATGGCACTATTGTGTTATGTTTTATACCTTAGGTCCACATGCTTGGAGAACATAAGTCCAGGCATGTCTGTCAGGCATTGCAGAGGCCTCAGTGTGGAGCAGGGTGTCTCCTGTGAGTGAGTAATTGAAGTGTAACTCCTCTGCTGGACAATGGCTGGTGACGTCTGTTGAGCACCGACACAGGTATTGGTTACCTCCCTTATCACTGTCTCTGGAGTGCTAGTATCTGAGCATATTCCTAACCTACAGCATACTTTGTGACAATGGGTACGTCTAGACTACATGCCTCTGGCGACAGAGGCATGTAGATTAGGCTACCCGACAGAGTAAAATGAAGCGGCGATTTAAATAATCGCCGCTTCATTTAAATTTACATGGCTGCCGCGTTGAGCCGACAAACAGCTGATCAGCTGTTTGTCGGCTCAACGCGGCAGCCATGTAAATTTAAATGAAGCGGCGATTATTTAAATCGCCGCTTCATTTTACTCTGTCGGATAGCCTAATCTACATGCCTCTGTCGCCAGAGGCATGTAGTCTAGACGTACCCAATGATACACAGATTTCCTAACTTCATATTTCATATTTATAATGATATACATATTTAGACGCTACAGTAGGTTTCAAGAGATCATAACGTCTCTCATGATACCTTACCCTAAGTTTGCAAAAGAACAGGCTATATGACAGTCAGATGTGTTTCAACCTGCTGATATAGGTGAGGTATGAAGTCAGTACTGAGGTTCTATGTGACACAGAAGTGGATGAACATGGGGATATATGCTACATTTTTGAAGTATTGAAGATGGCAGAGTCCCTTTTGAAATGCATTTAGTACTGTAGATGATACAACAGTGGCAAGAAAAGCTGAAAACCTCTCCTTTAACACTTATTATTTCTGTACTTTCAAGTATTTGGGTGGGACCAAATACATCTCTAGCTGTCACTAAAAAACCTCTCACTCTCAGAGGTCTTGGGGGAAGGTCAATTCTCGCCTACAGACAACCCCCTAACCTCAAACAAATTCTTTCCAGTAACCACAAAACATACCTCCATAATAATCATCCAGGAACTCACCCCTGCAATACGCCCCATTGCAACTTTGCCCACACATCTACACTTGCAATTTCATCACTGGACTCAACCACATCACCCACCAAATCAGAGGTTCATTTAACTGTATATCCACTAATTTGATCTGTGTCATCAAATGCCAGCAATGCCCACTGCAACGTATACAGGCAGTCCCCGGGTTACGTGGATCCGACTTATGTCGGATCCATACTTACGAACGGGGCTTTTCTCGCCCCGGAGGATGCGGGCGGCGGGACCGCCCAGACATGCCGCGGTCCCACCGCCCGCGTCCTCCGAGGCTTTGCTCCGTTTCTCCCTGGTCTGCTGAGGCCCCCAGCAGACCAGGGAGACGCGGAGCAAAGCTGTGGAGGACACGGGCGGCGGGACCGCAGCGCGTCTCGGCGGTCCCGCCACCCGCATCCTCCGCGGCGAGAAAAGCCGCTCCGCGCCTCCCTGGTCTGCTGGGGAGGGCACTAGCTCCGCGTCTCCCTGGTCTGCTGGGGGGGAGGTGCCTCTGGCGGCGACAGTGGGGGAGGGACCCCGCACTAGCAGGGCCCCGCCCCCCGGTTTGTAACTAGGGGTCCGACTTAAGGCGGGCTGAG